TTAGAGTTCCAAAACCAAACATTTCATATTCTTGATATTTGTCTGCTGTGCCATGTACTTGCATGAAAAAGTATCCTGTTCTCTTTGTATTGCTTCCTTTGTGTCCTGCCAGTCCCACTAATTTCCTAATAAAACTGACCATACTAGGCTTGAGAGTACACCATGGTCTGTTATCTAGCTGTGCTGAGAACTCAGACTGTTCTCCAATTATCAGACTTGTGCTGACAGCCTCCCCCCTCCCACACACACAGCCATTCCTTGGGGAGAACAGATCACTTATAAAAAGGGGAGAAAGGTATTTATAATGTTTTTTTTATTTGTATACATAACTGCCTTTTTAAACTGAATGCCCTCATCTTTAGAAAGTGAGGGTTTACATATACTTTAATACATATACTTTACATTCTCTGCATTAAGGTTTTAAAAAAAAACCTTTCAAAAGTTTCTCTCCCCAGCCCCTCTTAATCACCTGAGCCAGGTCTCAATCCAGTGCTGTTCCCATCTGCAGCAGCTTTTCTCCACTATCTCTTTTCTCACAGGAGACTCGGCAACAGCAAGAGCCGTTGGCTCCTGTTGCTGTCCATCCAATCCTGTGAGGAAGGAGCAGGGTCCTGCTGCGTGTTTCTATAGATACACACAACCCAGATTGGGATTGAGCCTGCACAAGTTAGAAGAGGAGGAACCAAGATCGCTGACAGGGGACCCCAAAAGATTAGGTTCGGGGCTGCTCTGTGCAAAACTAGTGCACAGAGCAGGTAAGTATAATGTGTTTTTTTTTATTTTGGGGAAAAAAGAAGCTTTACAATCACTTTACATAAGCTTGGACTGCGTATGTAAGAAATCCTATCCTGTCTTGGAGCAAACATGCAGCTGGTAAAGTCAGAAGTCCCGACCTGCATTTGCCAGGTCATAAAATTGGTTAGGAAACAAGGATTTGGGTGAAACACCCGGAGCTTGCATCTTTAATGAAATGCGGAATGTGAGAATACCAGTTTATAGGGAAAGCATGGCCAACCCCAAATAGCAGCTAAAGGCTGTTTTTTTTTTTTTTTTTTGTTTTTTTTTTTCACAATATTTGCTTCTTTGTAACAGATTAGTGGTCAAAGAAGGAGAAATATATTTCTGTTCTGCATACCAAGGACATTCAATTGATTGTCAGCTAATAGCTCATTGATGGGAACAAATGCTTTTTAACAGGATCTAAACTGTAAAATAGGTTCTAGCTGCTCCCTGTTTTATACAATATGATAGAGCTCTGGTGTACTGACCTTTCAGCAGGCTTGATTATTCATATGTAATGGGGTGGGCATAGATTCTTAATTGTGTATTTCCTGTGTGCTACAATCACAAAAAAGTCTACAGGTAGAAAAAAAAAAAAAACTGGACACTTAGCAAATGGCAATTTCTTTTTTTTTTTTTCTTTTGGATATAGTGGGGAGGGATTAGAACACATGTCAGGTTTGGTTTCCCCATTAGGGAGGTTCACCCTCTATATTTTTCCTGCTTACCATTATCACTGAAGGCAAGAGTGAAAGAAAATCTCAAATTTTGGCTTGTCCCCAAAAGAGGAATAGAGAAATCTTCCCATGGGGCATTAGTTCTGGTGTCCCTGGAGAATAAAAACTGTATAGCAAAGTGAGAAAAAATAGATTTTACTACTATTACATTTAAAAATTTAACAAAGCTGTACAGTACATACATGTACAATATAAAACATTTCAAATTTCAGCACATATCACGCTTCAGGGCTCATTAATATATATACATTACATGCCCTGGCAGAAATTGTGAAATTTTGGCATTGATATTGAAAATATGACTGATCATGCCAAAAAATGCTTTTATTGAAGGGTGATGGTCATAGGAAGCCATTTATTATTAAATAGTTGCTTGGCTCCTTTTTAAATCATTATTATACAGGATTTATATAGCGCCAACAGTTTGCTCAGCGCTTTACAATATAACGGGAGACAATACAGCAACAGTACAGTTCAATACAAGAGGGATAGGAGGGCCCTTCTCCTCAGAGCTTGCAATCTAGAAGGGAAGGGCTAGTGGTTCAAAAGGTAGTAACTGTGGGGGATGGACTGGTTGGAAGAGTAGAAGATTCCATTATTAGCTGAGGGCAGGATAGGCTTCCCTGAAGAGAGAGGTTTTCAGAAATTGCCTAAAAGTGAGCAGAGTAGGCGATAGTCTGATAAATTGGGGTAGAGAGTTCCAGAGGATGGGAGAAGTCCTGGAGACATACATGGGAGGAGGAGACAAGGGAGCTAGAGAGCAGGAGGTCTTGCGATAACAGAAATCATCCAAATGGCCCGGATCAAAAGTTTACATACCTTGTAATGTTTGGCCTTGGTACAGACACACAAGGTGACACACACGGGTTAAAATGCCAATTAGAGGTTAATGTCCCACATCTGTGGCTTTTTAAATTGCAATTCGTGTCAGTGTATAAATAGTCAATGAGTTTGTTAGCTCTTACGTGGAAGCACTGACTGGGCTAGATACTGAGCCATGGGAATCAGAAAAGTCCTTTGTAACAAGGTAATGGAACTTTATAAAGATGGAAAAGGACATATAAAGATGTCCAAAGCCTTGAATATGCCAATCAGTACTGTTAAATCACCTATTAAGAAGAGGAAAGTTCGGGGATCTCTTGATACCAAGCCAAGGTCAGGTAGACCAAGAAAGATTGCAGTCACAACTGCCAGAAGAATTGTTCGGGATACAAAGGGAAACCCATAGGTAACCACAAGAATACAGGCTGCTCTGGAAAAAGACATTGTGGTTGTTTTGAAGGAGCACAATATGAAGACACTTAAACAAAAATGAGCTGCATGGTCGAGGCGCCAGAAAGAAGCCTTTACTGCATCAATGACACAAGAAGGCCCGGTTAGGCATGTCAAGGTGTTGTCAGGCATATTGCAACCGGGCTTTTTTGTGGCATTGGTGCAGTAAAAGCTTATTTCTGGCACTTCGACCAAACAGCTCATTTTTGTTCAAGTATCACCGTATTGTAATCCTTAAAAACAACCACACTATCTTTTTCCAGAGCAGCCTGTTTTTCTTTTGAGGTTGCCTGTGGGTTTTTCTTTGAATCCCAGACAATTCTTTTGTCAGTTATGGCTTCAATCTTTCTCGGTCTACCTGACCTTGGCTTGGTATCAAGAGATCCCCGAACTTTCCACTTCTTCTTAATAGGTGATTTAACAGTACTGATTGGCATATTCAAGGCTTTGGACATCTTTATATGTCCTTTTCCATCTTTAAAAATCTCCATTACCTTGTTGCGCAGGACTTTTGACAGTTCTTTTCTGATCCCCATGGCTCAGTATCTAGTCTAGTCAGTGGTTCCACATAAGAGCTAACAAACTCATTTACTATACACTGATACTAATTGCAATTTAAAAAGCAACAGATGTGGGACATTAACCTCTAATCGGCATTTTAACCCGTGTGTCACCTTGTGTGTTTGTACCAAGGCCAAACATTCCAGGGTATGTAAACTTTTGATCATGGCCATTTGGGTGATTTCTGTTATTTTGATTTAAAAAGGAGCCAAACAACTATTTGATAATAAATGGCTTCATTTGATCATCATCCTTCAATAAAAGAGCATTTTTTGGCAAGATCAGTCATATTTGCAATACCAATGCCAAAATTTCACAATTTCTGCCAGGGTATGTAAACTTTTGAGTGTGTGTGTGTGTGTATAGATAGGTGTGTGTGTGTGTGTGTGTGTGTGTGTGTGTGTGTGTGTGTGTGTGTGTGTGTGTAGTTTATATGGTGTTTGCAAATGTCTAAAATAAATGGCAATGGTTTTTAAATCTACGAGGGGCGTTTAAGTCAAACCAGAATTTATAATTTTACAGGTATATAAAGGAATGATAGCATGGCAGTACTACACATAGTAAGTGCCCAGTGTGTCCTATTACTGATAGGCAATGCACATGTCGCGGGCCAGTCTAGAGACTGTTAATCAAGTTGGCAGAGAACAGTGTTAGTGTGTGCATGGAACAGTGCGTGGTGATGAAGTTACTTGTGAACTAAGGCGTAAAACATGTAGATATCTACTGAAGTCTTCAAGCCCAGTACATTGCTGAGACCCTCAGCCACAGTAAGACATTTGAATGGTGTAAACCTTTCAAAGATGGCCGTACATCGGTCAGTGACGATCCCGGCCATGGTGGTTCCCAGCCCACAGCAGTGTCATTCCTGTGTAAAAGTCCCAGTTTGACATATATATATATATATATATATATATATATATATATATATATATATATATATATAATATCTCAATATATATATATATATGTGTGTCAATCTCAATCATGCGCCAAGCATCCCCACTATCAGGGTCAAAACATTTAAGGTCAGAGATATAGCCAGGATTCTGAAGTTTTCAGCAGTCAAGGAAGGACATAATTGTATATAGACTTATTTAAAGAAAACCTTGCCAGGGATAAACATATAGGTTACCATTACTGACCACCTTCTGTAAATACTAGTTGTATTCTTGTCCCATAATTTCAGCTAGTGAAGTCAGAAGAAAAGGGTTGCATCCTTACTCTTGGACAGTGAATCAAAAAGTAATGATTCCATTGCTCAGCACAACAGCAAGGCAGTTATTTCTAGAAGCATAAGTCGGCAGTGGCAACCTATGTATTTCTCTCCCTACAGGGTAAAGAAATGCAAGTAACCCATAACAACCATTTGATTTTTATTGATAATTTAATTACCTTTCACCTATTATAAATTACATTGGATTGTAAGATCCCTTTGAACAAGAAACTCATCTGGTAGCACTGAAAATGCTTAATGAAGAAATATAAAATAACATTTCAAATATGCTTTTTGTATATCCCTTTGCATTTTACTTTGAACCTGGAAACCTTCTATCTGTGTTTTCTCTAAAGGTTCAACAGGAATCCAGCACAGTTATGCCATGTCTGTGTGACGTTACCTATTATCAGTGCTAACCTACACCTTGGGTCATCATGAAGCTGAAGCAGCGGGTTGTGGTGCTGGCTTTACTACTGGTGATTCTGGTCCTCACTAAACTTCTATTGCTGGACAGATTGGAGACGTCTGCTGCACAGAGGCAGGACCAGCTTTCCTTCCAGCGCATGATGTCCAGCCTACGGCTGACCATGGACTCCCGGTTGGAGCATACGCTACAGTCCCCATGGGAAATAGCATCTCAGTGGGTGGTGCCTAGAGAGGTGTATCCTGAAGATACCCCAGAAATGGGAGCAGTCCTACATTCTATGGCTACAAAGAAGATCATAAGAGCTGACGTGGGCTACAAAGGTACGCAGCTCAAAGCCTTGTTAGTCCTGGAGGGTGGACAGAAGGTGGTCTTCAAACCAAAAAGGTGAGAGACTAGGAAAGGGTTGCTACAGCAGTGTTTCACTTTAATTAATGCTCTACTCCGTATGAATGTCAGATATACGGTGGTCTGCATATTTTGTCAGTCAGAACATGCACTTGCTGTTTTTTCAGGAGTGAGGTCTGTATATTTTTCTGTGGAGAATTTACTATGGGTTGGTGACCCCAAGATAATGTGGGAGGGTGAAGAAAAATCTACCATTTAGGAGCACAGCCAGCACTAACGAACTGGCAAATTCATGGGGTAGAGTTCTACTTTGCTTTTTTTATTGCCGTCACAGTATTGACAAACTAATTTTTTTGTTATTGTTTTTTATTTCTTTATCAGGCATTACAGATAAAGAGAATTCTGTGCTCTTGAAGGGTTGCCCCTTAATTTTATTCAAATCTGGACTAGCTACAGGAGTATATCTGTCTCCCATGGCTCCCTTGGTGTCACAAGGGGACCCCAGATCAAGTGATTCACTGACAGAAATACTCCAAGTCTTAGTTGACTAACCAACAAGGTCACACAAGACCCACAGATCCAGATATTCACTTTAGGTAATAATTCTGAGCTGTATTTTTTCTGAAATTGTGCCTCTTTGGGTTCTCCTTATTGTAGCTAACCTAGCAAATAGAACTTCTGCCTTCTGTTAGGCCCCTTCACCACTTGGCCACCCCAGTACCCCTCCTGGAACATTGCTTTTTGTTGCCATTTTCACCAGGACTTCAGCCCTTGGCAGACCATGAATGGCACATATACATTTCCAGGTCTGGGGGAATTCTTCAATACACGTCTTATTTGTCAAGGCTTTGTCTCCTCTGACTCTTCCTGTTTTCCAATCTGGATTTCTCTCTCCCTTGCCATATCAGCAGTTCTTTATCTCTATCCTGCATGGTCCACCTTAGCATGTTGATGATTTAGCAATCCTCAAAGCACTTTCACAGATCTTTAAAGTCTCAAAGATCCCCCTGGCTACATCTGTACCTGACTGTTTTCTAATCTGAGAAATACTGAAAAGAATCCCTGTGAAAATGTCATGACATTTGAATGCAGAAGAACCAGGCTCAGAAGACAAGACTGCATTGTCAGCATTAACTCTGTGAACTGTATATAATCAATCCTTGCGTCACCCGTACAAAGAGCCTTGCACTGCAGTTACTTGGCAGAGATGTCCTGGAGCCCTAATGTAGACTTGTGACTTTTGTGGGCTTTTATCATGCGTCTATGGTCCTTTACCATTTTTTTATTTTTCTTTTCAGTTGCTTCGCTCCTTTTCCTAGCATTGCTCACTTCGTTGGGCAGGGGCATATCTGAAGGGAAGGAGTCCCTCCTTCACCTATTTAGGGTCCATCTTTTACAGATGATGTAAGTGTTCTAGCACTACCAACTAAAGAGACACCCAGGGGCAGATAGAGAACATTGTGGAGGGATAACCAAATTATTCTCTTAGGAACCAGCATAATTTAGCCACCAATCTGAACGTATCATTCACTGTTCTGGCTGCCATTGGTTACTTCACTTAACATATTGGCTTTAGTCTTTTGACTTCCCTATGGAGTATGCTTTTAAATCCCCTACAAACTGCCCAAGATTGTGTTAAGGGAGATCCACTCCTTTTTTGCAACCACCAATTATAATACGTGAATCATAAATGGTATTGGTATTTTAGTTGTTTTGTAGGCTTGTGCTTGGACATGCGTGATGCTTGCATTTTTCTGTATTTACTTCATATGTGCAGTTATACATTTGGAGGGCCTCTTGGTTTTTCTTTGCAATTTTTTCAACGAAGGGTATTGAGAACTAAAGAGAATTAAAGGATGGCAACTGAGAAAAGCATTTCAATATTGATGGCTTCATCCTGTAACACCTCACACTCCATTTCCGAACTTGATGAATCTTCTCACAGATTATAATGGTAGCTAAGCTAATTACACAGCAGCAGCCTCCAAGTCACAGGAGTTTCTGTGTCGACTTTGCTTTATACAGGCTTTGGCTGCTTCTGAATAATCAAAGCTTTTAGATGCACAGTATGTGTAAACCAAGGCTTGTATTAATGCTAGGTAATAAAGATTTTGTCTAAGATTACACAGCATAGCATAAACATTAGTGAGATTATAGAATAATTGGGGAGATTATGGAATAATTAAAGCCACTTGTAGGTGGAAATAACAGACCTCCTGGAGGAAACATTCTTTTATCTTTCTTTTGTCTGTGGGCTGCAGACTCTTTTTTTATATTTTTTTTTTTTTTTTTTTTTCCTTTGCTTTGTACTGATGAATTACATGTTGTTACAGATACAGCCGGGATTATGTAGTGGAAGGGGGGAGCCCTATGCGGGATACGATCGTCACAATGCTGAGGCGGCTGCTTTTCATTTAGATAGGTGTGTATTCTGAATACAGAATTGTGTATGTCATTGTATTTCACAGCTTCTTTCCGTGGCATAAGTTTGACTAGTGCTTTCTCCTCCAGGATCCTCGGCTTCAGACGAGCGCCTTTGGTGGTTGGTCGATATGTAAACCTTATCACAGAGATTAAACCAGTAGCCACTGAGCAGCTGCTTAGCACATTTCTGAAGCAGGGTGAGTGTGAGTTTAGAAGAATATTCAATTTTTCATTCTTCTAATGAATGCATAGCAATCTATTCTAGCTGCCTATTGCCATTTGTAATGTACTTTTGTTTACAGCTCTTGGACAAATATGGTTGACAAATGGTATACTTTTTTCATTGTGTGTGTGTGTGTGTGTGTGTGTGTGTGTGTGTGTGTGTGTGTGTATATAACACTTAATTGTGGAACACACCACAATAAGTAAATTAAAATAACATTGGTGCAGTGCAATCCAGAAACCAACACGAACATATATAATCTGACAATACAAATTTAGAAAGTGAATGAATTTGCTAAATAGTGCAAATTTAGATCCAATCAGGGTATTGGCACCAAAACCTCAGTGCTGTCAAAATATTTATATGTCCTATTTACATAATCAATCGCGTGCAAAAAACATGCCAAATATTTATAATAATAAAACTTATATAATGCAAAAAGTCCACATATAAAAATATGATATTCAAGCAGAAATCAGTTCTTCAAATTAAAACCTCCACCAATGTGAGTCAAGATGCATACCGTGCTCCATCTGTGAGAAGTGGCTGCTTACCTTTGGGATAGACCCATACTCTCATATAGGTCAAAAATGCATACCTCAGGTTGTTAGGATGCTGTCACTCCACACTATATGTCTCTCCTACAGGGTCCTTCTGTAAATTCTTTATTCAAAATCTTACAAACATAATAAACCTATTTACATGGATACAGAATAAATGTAAAAAAAAAATATATCTATCTTCAGCGTAGGAAACTGCTTTTCCTTTTTTTTTTTTTTTTTTTTTTTTTTTGGCTGGGGGAAAAAAAACAAACAGAACCAATGATATATTTTAATATTATCTTTATATTGTATCTCAACATACCCTAACTCCACCTAAACACAACCTCAGGCTAAGAAACGATTAAACATTTATCCCATGCATGCAGCCATTTTTAAAAAATCAGATCTTACAAAAATCTAGGAGATGTGAAAGGACAGAGAGCGCCACACACCCAGAGACTGACAGACAGCAGTTACGGGACCTGACATTCCTCCACGCCTTTTGTCCAGGCTCCCGGCCACCACCTGTCATTCCTAAGACCCCAAAACATCCCAGCCTCACCCAGAATGTTGTGCACCACCACCTCAACAGAAAGGACTTTTTTGCGAATGGAAACCTGACACCGTGCATTCCATGTGTAGTGACAGACTACTAAGCTAACTAGAAAAAGTATCTTAAAATCAAAGCTCCGGTGAGTTTGAAAGGCTCCGTAAGACCATTCCGCATAATTCAAGCTGGAAAGTAAAAGGATACACAGAGCCCCACCCACCCGCTTGTAGACTTCTATATTGAAGGGGCTCTGAAGCAAGAAATGGTCCATAGGCTCCTCCACCCCACCACACTCCACTCTTGGACAACCATGGTTCTCCACAAAGCGATGCTTCACATAGTCTGCTATGGAACGAGAGCCAGGCCAAATCCCGAAACTTTAAAGGGATTCTCTCCAGATGCATCAAACGCAGACCCTCCCTCATAACAGGGCCTGGGCAATCCCTCAAGGCCAATGGCTTGCTAAAGGCGGATTCAACAAGCCTCCTTTTTCAGGGCTTTTCTAAGAAAAGACTTCATTTCCTCCGCCGTCATTTGCCATTGCTGAAGCATTTTCAGGCACAGGGTAACATAAGTCGGGACCTTACTATGTTGGACCCTCATGTTCTTCACTGGCCCATCATTCTCCCAGCTCCACAGAAAAGGCCTAAACCAGGACTGAAAAATACCAACCCACCCAGGCGGTTCCTCTGCCAGCATGCTACCAAAAATTATGTTTCAAAAATATCAGAAAAAAACAAAACCACTGGGTTGACCCTACCCAGGCAACCCATCCGCTGGGAAGGAAGGTAGGTTACAGACCTCTTAATGAGGTTCAGTTTGTTCCCCCTTAACAGCTGGAAGAAACAACTGTCGATCTTCGCATAGAGAGAGACTGGAAAAACACAAACAAAGCTGACATACAGAAATACTGGGATCAGGTAAGTTTTTTTTTTTTTTTTTTTTTTTTTTTTTTAAATCTGGTCAATCATTTCCCTCTAAGAGCGTTTCCAATCCTTTCAGCTAGCAACCTTGTCATCGGCATCTTGTAGCCTGCTTACCCAATTAGCAAGGCCGTAATCACCGGGACCAAATGTGATGCCTAAAACTTTAATTCCCTGCCGGGGCTCTGGGTAGGCGTCCGGAAGGGTAAAGCCTTCGCCTTCCTCTCCCATCCAGAAAACCTCACTCTTATCCTGATTGATCTTTGAGCCAAATGCCTCAGCATACTGTTCTATCACTGAGCCCACCTCTTCCGCCGCCTGTGTCCCAGACATGAAAACAAACACATCATCCGCATAGGCCACAACCCTCAGAGGAGGCTCCCCAGGAATGCCCAAAGCAACTCCACACAACGGTCTGCTCTCTAACCTCCGAATGAAGGGATCGATTGCAAACGGGTATAGCAAAAAATGCGACACACCTGAGCAAACCCCAAAGGGCCGTCCAATCCAACCATTTACAAGTATGAAGCTTTCAGCACCCTTGTATAAAATCTTCAGCCAATCAATAAAGCCCTGTTCCAGGCCATACTTGCCAAGAAGCAGCCATAGGTATTCATGATTGACCCAATCAAACGCTTTGGCCTGATCCAATGCCAGCAGGAACTTCCCCAGCCTGCAGCCCTGCACTGTTCCAGGGCCTCCCAGAGAGTTAACACTGCTGAAAAAGTTCTTCTAGCCTGAACCGAACAGTGCTGATGGTGAGAAAGTAAATTGCCTGCAACAGACAATAAATGCCAGAAAATTATCTTTGCCAGTATCTTCCTATCAACATTAAGAAGGCTAATAGGCTGCCAATTCTCAATTCTTATAGAATCTTTACCCTTTGACAGAAGAATCACTGCAGATTGTTTCATGGAGGGAGAAAGCAAACCCTCTCTCAGACAGCCATTGAAAACCTCCACCAAATATGGGGCCAAAGTAACCTTAAAGTGCTGCTGTCAATCCGCCTGGCCCAGGCGACTTCTTAATGGAAAGCTTATCAATAGCTTTAACCACCTCATCTGCTTTGATGTTCTCTGTCAAACTCACAGGAGAACTGCCATTTCCCAGTCCTGGAGTAGAGTCCAGAAAACCTGACATGCTCGCCCGATTGAGGTCCTTCCTACCCAAGAGGTCAGCATAATATGACCTGGAGGTTTCCAGGATCCCCAACTTAGACTTTGTCAAGGAACCCGTACCGTCAACCAGGCCTACAACTGACGTAACTGCTCTACCTTGTTTGCAATTCTGATAAGGGTCAGGCGAGTGATATTTCCCATAATCCCTTGCCTGTCATATTGACACTTCCTGAACAAGAGTCTAACCTCAGAGATCGCCCCTTGATCTCCATTATTCGAGACAAGCCTATCCAGCTTCCTCCGCAGTCGCTGGTATGTGACATACTTGTCAAGCTGTTTATTTCTTCCTATGGCCTTAAAAAAACCCAATGATCCTTCATTTTGTAAGCTCCCACCACTCTGACTTACTGCTGCAAAAGTCCATGATTGATACCTGTGCCTGGGGAAAAAATCCTCAAAGGATTGACTCCACTTCTCATTGTCTAGGAGTGCCAAATTCAGCTTCCAGGTACCCCTCCCCCTAGGTGGTGTATCGGGGCTATTCGTAGTGAGACAGAATACAGTGATCGGAAAACTTCACCGCCTGACACGCTGGTGCTGAGAAGGCGGAGATCCCCTTTTTAAAAAAAAAAAAAAAACCTATCTATTGTACTCTGACTAGTACCTCTGAAAAGTGAATGCTGTGTCATCTGGGCAGCAATGACTGTGCACATCAACCAGACCTGCCTCTCTAGCTTTTTGTTTTTAAAAAAAAAAAAAAAGCCGTCACAATCCAGCCTGGCTCCAGTACCTTTCCTGTCCTTAGTCCTAGAGACGGTGGTAATATGACTTGATCTTCATGAAGAGGCATTTCCTGTCCCATTTTTTTGTCTGGGGCCCAACTGGGACGGGGTCCTTCTGTACTTTCCCTTGGTGTTATGAAATGCTCATTAGGGAGAACACAGGGAAGCTGTCCTTAGTGTAGTATTTTAAAATAAAATTATTTATTTAATAAAGAGATGGTGCCGCTTACATTAAAATAAATCGAAAACCACTTATCTGTGCTCCAGATACGATATAACACCACACTTCCAGTCTCGGTCGCGTCTGGAACTGACATCACCTGGCTCCATCCTTTGACGCGTAGCGTCATAGATCAAGTGACTTCTTCAGAGATGGGGTCTGCTGATCGTCTCGCTTAAATAAGAACCGAAGTGTTTAACTTCTGTATTGGTACAATACAATGTAATGGCTGACCCTATACTACAATTAGGCCGCAAGATGGCAATCTAATACACATTATACCTAGTTCATTGTAATAAAACAGCTACCAATAGAATTAACCGCCAAGCTGTCAGTATGAAATCCACATATACAAAGCTAAAGCGATAATAAGAAAAGCAAAATGTATTTAGTAAAATAAATCATAAAAATAATCAAGGAAAATTTGTAGATGTTTTGCATGTATGAAAACAAACAAAAAAGAGAAGAGATAGCTTTACATTGACATCTGCCGGGAAACGGTATAATATCAAGGATTTTATCTCCTCCAGGACAGAAGGGGTAGTTTATGTACTTCAGTGCCCATGTTCCAAGAAATATGTGGGAAAAACCAAAAGACTCCTATGGAAACGAATAAAAGTGCAGAATATCATAAAAGCATAGTGTTTCAAAACTTTTTTCCTTATACCTTAATAAGGATCCTTCCTTTATTACAGTTCTGTGGGATTGAAAGTTATTAAAAAAAAATCGAATAGTAGCAACAAAGTGCATGTCTTGAGCCAAAGTTAATCAAGATGGATTTATGAGCTTTGCACTTCGGCCCAGAATGGGATGAATATTGAGTTTGATATTAATTGTTTTATCTCATAGTATTAAAACCTGCACACTGTTGACAAAGGTATTGGGCCAGCCCTCCAAATCTTTGGATTCAGGTGTTCCTATCACCTCCATGGCCACAGGTGTATAAAATCAAGCACCTAGGCATGCTGACTGCTTCTACAAACATTTGTGAAAGAATGGGTTTTTCTTTCAGGAGCTCAGTGAATTAAAGCGTGGTTCCTTGATAAGTTGTCTTGCTGTTTGTGGGTTCAGGATATGAGTTTTCTATAATTCATTGGTTTTAATCTTTTACATTTTTTTTTTTCTTTTCCTTTTTGTTGTAAAATAGATAGTGGTATGTTAGTTTAGACCTCCCTACTATCCACTAATAAATTTTGGTTGTTGTGTTAAACCTTTCAGTCTTGGTCAGAGAACTCTCATTCAGGTTAACCAAATCATATGAGAGAAATATTTTATATTTCATAATCTATAATTTGGTCAACGCTTCAGATTTAGCACAACAAAAGTGCGTAGAGAGCTTCATGGAATGGGTTTTGATGGCCGAGCAGCTGCATCCAAGCCTTACATCACCAAGTGCAATGCAAAGTGTTGGATGCAGTGGTGTAAAGCAGGCCGCCACTGGACTCTAGAGCAGTGGAGACATGTTCTCTGGTGTAACCGAGTCACGCTTCTCCGTCTGGCAATCCAATGGATCCAAAGGGCTCTGAGGAAGAGGCAAGTCCTCGAAACGCATCAGCCTATTGGATGTCTACACTCCCTATTGCAGACTGTTACTCAGCGTGGTGTTGACCCAGCTGTTCTTTTATGATGTGCCTTGACTATATTGTCGTTTGTGAGTACAACGCCCACTTTATTTTTTATTAAACATTTTAATGCACTAGGCCTGTGCTCCCTCTGTTTTTTTTTTTTTTTTTTTTTCCCCTCATTCAGTATATTTGGATTCCCCTGGTCTATTTGAGGGCAGCAAGGTGCGCATGTTCCAGGACACACTTAATGTGGTTGTAGCCTGCATCGAGTCCATCCCCAAGCGCAGGAGCATTTGTTTGCTAATCCAATGGACGTGTCTGGGTTTGGCTGTTGCCAGGAGAACAGTGCTTGCCTGACTGCATTGTGCCGAGCGTAAAGTTTGGTGGAGAGGGATTATGGTGTGGCGTTGCTTTTCAGGGGTTGGACTTGGCCCCTTCGTTCCAGTGAAGGGAACTCTTAAGGCATCAACATACCAGGAAATAATAATTAGGGAAGCGCCAAAAATTATCAGCTGCAAACCTAACTGTAAAAAGGTGCCAATCACTATAAACAAGGTTGCGCTAAGTAAACCAAATGTATAAATCACAAACAAAATATATATAGTGACAAAAATATTTGTGACAAAAAAGCTTAGTGACAAAAATATAAATCCTATATAATATTTAGTGACAAAATCTTTAGTAAAGTCCAAATCTGTGTTGAAAAGAAGAAATTAATTTTGTATTCAACAATAATCACCGTGTGTGAATCCACCACCAAATAAAATGAATAAACTCACCAGAGCAATATGCTGATTAGATTATAAACCAGCATAAAACTCTTTCTGCTTTGGGAGCAATGTTGTGCGGAAGGATGTAATACTCTGTTGATGACTCTGGCTATTCAAAAGGAGCAATACTCTGCAGGGACCACTCAGCAAGATGGATTCATTTCTTGGAAGGTCTTTTCCTCAGATATCCAGACCAAATAGGGTATAGAAAAACCGAGAACTCATGGTGCAGTATTTTCAAACCTCTATTTTATTTAAAAAGTAATGCACTTATAAATAGAGGTGTCCCAGCGACACCAGCAATGACGGTGTGTACTCAAGATAAAAAAACGATCCCAGCCTCAAACACGCATGCGCAAGCGGCTCAGCAATGTATTGACGTCACATCCAAACAAGCTCCACTCCTACGCGTTTCGTCATCAACAGCCTCACCGAGCTGATTTCAAATCTGCAACCCATCAGATTATCACCTACTCTCCTCTCCTTTAGGTGCACCCTGAAAACCCACCTCTTCAGGGAAGCCTACCCCACCCCCTGCTAACTTGCCAACCCCTCCACTCTTCCTACCACTCCATCCCCCACAGCTTTCTCCTCCTGTGCCACCATCCCCTCCCTCCTAGATTGTAAGCTCGAAAGAGCAGGGCCCTCAATCCCCTCATGTTTTGCATTGTATTGTTATTGTTCTGTCCCCCATTGTAATGTACAGCGCTGAGCGAACTATTGGCGCTTTATAAATACTGTATATAATAATAATAAAAATATTAATCTTAGAAGCCTTCAGAGGGCAATGTTGGCCAGGGGCTTGGATACACTCATGATAGTTACACTAATTTCCTCCATCTACTCCATTTTTGTTTACTTGATTTTTATATATTATTTAAATCCATTTTTATGATTTATTTTTTATTTTATTCTACTACTTTTCAAGTTTGTTTTTATTTGATATTATTTTTTATTCTTATAAATATTTGGCATGGTTTTGCATGTGATTATCTAAAAAGGACATATTAATATTTTTACAGCAGTGTGTGTGTGTGTGTGTGTGTGTGTTAGTTATCTATGAAGTGAACAGACTGCATGTAATCTGATCTTGGTGTCAATCACGTCTTGCCATAAAATATGCTGATTGCCGTATAGGGCTAGTTTTTAAAAACTGCATTGCAGCAATCTGTATTTTTACACTGTACCATAAAACTGGAAAGGGAAAAAGGGTCACATGACCACCCATGTTCATTAAATTCTGCTTTGCACTGGCTGATTGGAGGAGTCAGGTGATTGAAATTTAGCAGACAACATGTCTATCTAAGCTAATACACACAATTTTGAGTAAATGTGAACAGCATGATGGAACACAAAATGCTAAGTGTTTGTAATCCAGATCACAATGTACAATATACAGGTGAAACTCAAAAATTTAGAGAATATCGTGCAAAAGTTCATTTATTTCAGTAATGCAACTTAAAAGGTGAAACTAATGATTAATATATTCTAATTTTTTGAGTTTCACCTGTATAGGACACTAGTCTGAGATCCCTTTCTCCTTACTGCACACAATATCGCCTAATGCAATTTGGAATACACACCAACGTACACTGCTGGCTCCAGACAAATTTTCACATTCAACATTGTGAGTGTTTTTTTTTTTTTTTTTTTTTTTGTTTGGTTTTTTTTTTTTGTGTTTTGTTTGAGTTTGTGTTTTTGAGTATTTTTGTTTACGTGGAGGAAGGGATTCCCGTAGATGACCCTTTCACATCCAGATTGCTATTACAAATATTTGCAGTCTGGGTCAACTGGAGAGACATTACTCTGTGCAAACTATCTCCTGCAGAGGAACTCCTGAGTCAGTATGTACTCGGGGCAATGTGGGTGCTGCAGCTGTTATTCTCATCCAGATGATACTGGCTCTATGGACGTTTGCACCATAGAACACAACAGCTGTGATTGACACCCCCTGTAGCCCAGGTGGCTTGTCTGTGATGGCCAGTGGGACTCATACAAGGTAGGACATTGCACAGACAGGAAGTCTGCCTGCTGCAATGCCCTTCAATGAAAATTCAGAGGCATGAGTGTGGTGTTACACTTCCACTGTTCATTTACCAGGCAGTAGAGGGAAGGTAACCTAAATGTATTGCTTCTCTGTTTTAGAGTTTATATGTTGGAATTAACGACAGTTACGAGTTGTCTTCAAAAATAGTGCCCTCTTGCAGGCTTGCCAAAAGCTGGTTCGGTTTAACTGGGTGATCTGCTCTCTATAGGAAATAACACATGTTTCTATGGGAAGTGTTACTACTGCCGTGAGACTGAGCCTGCCTGTGCAGACAAGGAAGTGATGGAGGGATCGATCACTCTTTGGCTTCCCGATGTGTGGCCCCTTCAGAAGCACAGACATCCCTGGGGCAGGACGTATCGTGAGGGCAAGCTGGCAAGGTAAGGTTTTGAGTTTAGTAAGGGACTCTGGTTTATCTTCTCATGATGCCTTAAATTAAAGATGTACACGTTCCTAGCAGGTGGGAGTATGATGAAAGTTATTGTGATGCGGTGAAGAAGACTCCCCCTTATGATGCTGGTCCCCGGCTCCTCGACATTATTGATACAGCCATCTTTGACTACCTAATTGGAAATGCAGATCGCCATCACTATGAGAGCTTCCAGGATGATGAGGGCGCTAGCATGCTTATACTGCTGGACAATGCTAAGAGGTCAGTGTACATTCACCTGCTGGCCAACAATACATTTTTCTTGCCTTTTACAGTTAAATTGGTTTTAAAGGCTGAAGGCTTTTTTTACCTTCATGCATTCTATGAAGCCACCCTAATTCTTACCTGAGCCCCTTCTCCATCCAGCGATGTTCATAAGAACCTTTTGCTCTCCAGGGGCTCTCACTCTTGATTGGCTGAAGGAGCAGAGGGAACCATTGGCTCCCACTGCAGTCAATAGCAGCCAGTTAGGAGAGGGAGGGGGCTAGCTGAGCCACAGCTCTGTGTGTAAATAGACACACAGAGCCACAGCTCAGAAGTGCACCTGCTTAGGTGCTCCCGGAGCAGGCTGCTTGCTCAGGGGGCACTGAGCAGGAGAGAGGGGCCAGGAGGATCGGTGCTGCTCTGTGCAAAACTGCACAGAGCAGAAAAGTATGACATTGTTTTTTTTTTTTTTTTTTTTTTTTGTTTATTTAAAAAAAAAAAAATAAATAAACAAGACTTTAATATCACTTTAACAGCCTTAGCTATATGCATCCAGGAGTTCCAAAATGTACTCTAAGAAGAGACCAACTCTGGGCTATTTTTTTTAAATCTGGTGGCTAAAAAAATTAGATGTTTAAACCTACAGACACCAGTGAATTACCTTCCGCTTAACAGTACAAACTTCATTGTACACTGTATAACAAAGAGAACAAATATCAACAACACCAGCATCATCAATAAAAATGAAATATGTATGTACTGAATGTTTCTGCATAGTTAATTTCTATATATGCCACAGAGTATAGTCTTTTCTATTTAAAGTGGACCTGCACTGCAGTATTACATATGGTTATAAAAAGAGTGTTGTTTAGATGGACTTCGTAAAGGGCTGAAACAACTTTCCAAGAGAAATGGTTACGCCACTGCTATATCTGAAGGCCTGAGCACTGGGTGAATCCGAGGATCAGAGTATAGATTGATGGATGCTTCCTTTTTAGTTGAGATCACATTATCCTTTACTAAAGGTGTAGACAGCACTGAAGGGAGCCTGGAACAACATTTTCTCTAGAATAGGTAAGAATGTCACTTACTTTTTCATCCATCCCATGAAGACTGTTAATATTAGCTTTATGTTAGCATCCAAATACATGTCCACTGTAAAGAAATACATAGATCTCTATTTATACCTAAACATAAACCCACCTACCATAACTTCACATAATTTCACTGGGAAAAAAATACTTTTTGGGGACAGTGTTGCTGACACATCACAATGGCTGTGGTAGTAGTCTGTGCTGGTGTGTGGAGGAATAGATGACATCATAATCACCACCTCATTCAGTCAGAGAACGCATCTTATTCATTGGTTGAAGTGCCTAGTGAAGGTTCTGAGCGATAAACTCTGAGTTCATTGTAACAAAAGGAGAAGTTGCTCCAGCAGCATCTAGAACAGTAAAGCACTGACAGTATTTAGCACAGACTACTACCAGGAATTTTTTTGTTTCCCCAGTGACCCTCCAGATGTAACTTCTTGATAACCAAGCTAGCCTAATGCAAGTTTTAACATTAGATTACCCATGGAGTTCTGCTTTAATTCTGCCCCGATTCAAAACCACAAAAAGGAAGTAGTTCCTGAAGCTAAAACACAAAATTGGCCATTGTGCTGTGTCAGGAGCACAATGGCAATGTCCTCACAGTATTTTTTTTTTTTTTTTTTTCCCATTGAAATTATGTGAAGTTACAGTATGTTTAGGCATAAATAGAAGTTCATGTATTTCTTTACAGCGGACGTGTACTGAAGGCGAATATAAAGCTAATAATGTTTACAGTCTTGGTGAGTAATAGTCTGAAATTCTTACCTTTTCTGGAGAAAATGCTGTTCCAGGCTCCCTTCAGTGCTGGCTACACTTTTAGTGAAGGATCCTGTGATCTCTAATAAAGGGAAGCATCTGCCAATCTATACTCTGATTTACCAAGTGCCCAGACCTTCAGGTTTATGACCAGCACTGGAGTAACCATTTCTCTTGAAAAGTTATTTCAGCTCTTTAACAATCCACCTGAACACTCTCTTTAACCATATGTAATACTGCTGTGCAGGTCCACTTTACAAATAAAACTAAGGTTACACTGTGCCATGTATAGACCTGAAACATGCAAAAATGTCCAGTGTATATGTTCATTTTACTGATTATACTGGTGTTACCTCTGATATTATCTCTGTTATCCTATAATCTTCACAATGAAGTTTGTACTGGTAGGTGGAAGGTCATTTTCACTGGAATCAGGATAACGAATGGCCCAAGTCAGCAAAAAAAAAAAAAACGAGACGTCTGAACCTTATACAAAGTACCAAACTCATTCTATATGCAATGATTTATGTTAATACAATCTACTGAGCAAGATGGAGAATGCTGTAGCCCAACTGCTACCTCTATTTGTCACCTTTTTCTGTATTTACTATTAGTTTAGGTTTTAAAATGGGGCAAAATGTTCTAGCTATACCATTCCCTGTGCCATTTTATAAAACACATCTATCCATTAATAAAATACCTGATTTAAAAAAAAAAAAACCTCTTCCATGAGGTTTCCGCTGACATTTTCGGGTTTTGAAATACCTTATCTGCAAACAATATTAGAGGTGATCACGTTGGAGAAACGGCAACACACCCCTCCACCATCCCTGGGTTACATATTAATGTAATCTTGATGTAGGTGTAGTACTCCTTGATCTAGTCATACGAGTATCTGATGCTTTAGCTATCACTTCAGAACTAAGTCCATGAGGTGAGGTTATAAGAAGTTTCTGTGCAAGTATGAGCAAGGGTTACGTGGTGTCATTCAGTAATGGCCATGGGATTGTGCGCACATGTGTCATGAAATTTTCCAAGTTACACCACAAACGTCAAATATTGTGCCATTAAAGTAATAATTGAATATGCTGATGAATCTTAGAATGGAGAATTTCTGATGGCAACCAAATCCTTTTTTTTTTTTTTTTTTTTTTTTTTTCTCCCAGTGTTTGGATAATTCATTGTAAAGCTTGAACAGTTACTATGGGCAACAACCTTTATCTCCTAGATTGTAAGCTCCAAGGAGCGGGGCCCTCCTATCCCTCTTGTATTGAACTGTATTGTTGCTGTATTGTCTCCCGTTATATTGTAAAGCGCTGAGAAAACTTGACGCTATATAAATCCTGTATAATAATAATTTTAGATTTAAGTTTTTTTTGTCCATTGTACCAATGACATTTGTTCTGTTTTTCAGCTTCGGGAACCCCTCAACAGATGAGCGCAGCATTCTTGCACCCTTGTACCAGTGTTGCATGTAAGTGTTTTTGTTTCCTTTTACTCCTCTACTCTACTCTACTCTTTTTTGAGTTTTTAACGCCGGTCTTTCATTTTCTTTTTCTAATGTGACAGCATTCGTGTCTCTACGTGGAATCGGCTTTCCCACCTGAAACATGGTACCCTACGTTCTGCTATGCTTTCGGCCACCAGTCATGACCCTCTTTTCCCTGTCCTTGCTGAACCTCATTTGGAAGCACTAGAGCGCCGCCTGCAGGGTATTTTATCAACCGTCCAGCAGTGTTTAGACCAGTTTGGCGCCGATGTAGTGATGGTGGAAGACCGAATGACCCTTTCTCATGTGTAACTCTAGCCCTATCTATAAGAGATGAGGTTCTTGGGAAGAACACTGAGCTGGTGTGAATATGTTTCAGTACACAGCAGAGCACAGCACCCCCCAGAGACTATGGCCTGTTACACTGGAGGGATAAGAGGCCAAGGGACAGAATGAAGAACTCTATACCACATCAGAAATTGGATGATGTGGACATTAAATATGATTTTTATAGAACTCAAGGGACATCACAAGCCTGTGATGCTCAGGACTTAAAAGTATGGAGAAGAAAAAATGGCAAATTTTTGTCTTTTATCTCATAATTTATTCTCTTGTTGTAATATTTTTCTTTTTATTTCTCTCAGAGGTTTGTCTAACCTTTAAATCTTGAGGGTGTTGGTTTACGGTTTACAATAGTACAGTTTGCACAGTGGCCACAGGGCGGCACTGCCATTCTTTACAGGAACCTTGAGCAGGGTAAATCCTTGTATCTCTGCAGCTTTGCCTGAGTCCAGATCATACAGAAACGTACAAATTGATGAACTAGTCTTTAGAAACTGGCATTAAAACATTTGCAGACCTTGTTACTGCCAGAATTTTTTTAATGGCAGCTGCAGATTTTTACAAATAGTTTCTCTTTTTGTGAGGCCTATAGCTGAGAGAACTTCTGTATGTCTTTGTCCATAGTCCACAAACCACAAGTTCTTCACCCCCCCATTTGCAGCAATTTTTACAAAGTCTGGTCAAAACTGATTTTTCAGTTGTGCATGGCAACCAGAAATTTAATTTTGATTGATGTGTGAAAAAAAATACAAAAAAAAAATGCATACATATTAACCTCTATGTTGCAGCATTGGTGTGATGCTACATTTATCACCTGCAAGCTCTGAGACCGAGAACTGAGCGATCACAAGACTGCTGATTTGCTCAGTTCCCAGTCATCTATGAACTGCGAGTGGTGACTTTTAGTCACCGCTCTCTGCTCTGCCCCTCCAGCGCTCACTGGAGCACCAGGCTGGAGAGGGGGCAGGTGCAGCTTAGATCCAGAGACCACTTTCAATCAGGCAGCTGGGTGGATTCCATCAATATGGTCGGGATCCTTCCAGAGCCTGGAGCAGCTCTGTGGCGTCTGCTTATTCTGGGTCACAGTAGTGAAAAAGTAAGTGCAAGCCTTTGACCTACAAGAGCAGTATGACCAAAAAAAAAAAAAATCTTTGGCCTTACTTCTTTTAATCAGGCCACAGGTGAACCACAGCTCTAAGACCCTAACTTCTTCCTCCAATGCCCAAACCACAGCTGTTCAAGTAAAGCTAAGGCTAGGTTTGCACTTGTGCGGTTCCTGCGTTACACATTTGCATAAGCATAGCAGCTTGTTTATTTGAATGGGCTGCTGTACCTGCAGGGGAAAAGTCCCTGGGCCCTTTTTCAAATTGTGGCAGCACCATGCGGTTTCACGCATCTAAGAACAAAAGCTGCATTTTTCTGTCATGTGGCAGTGCCTTTAAGAATTAATATTCCGCCCCGCACATCTGTTAAAGAACAGAGCATTTTGTCTGCGGGTTGGGGAATGTGTTCGATTTGCAGATGTTCCCCAATCCACATATATGTGAATCTAGCCTAAGGAATCCTTTGTACTGTAAATGAATTGGAGAGAACAAGAATGATTTTTATTAATGACATAAGCAGGGGCTGGTAACTTAAATTGTCACAACCTTCCTGATGGTCTCTGAGAGATCTGATATTGGTGAGTTAATTAGCTTTGAAGCGTCCATCTGATGCCTTTATTTCAGGCAGACCGCCCCTTTAGTGCTAGAGCCATACCTCCTTAAAGTGGAACTGAACCCTCCTATCCCTTAGAGCCAAAGAAGCTGGCATCTTCGTCTCTGATCTGCAGTTGCCATGGTGCTGAACATGTGATTAGTTATGAAATCAGCCATTTGATGGCTTCACAGTGCTGTTGGGAGCACAAGCAACTGTGACAGTTCTCATTCATGCCATGCCTTGAATGTAACTGTTTTGGGAAGTGGTTAAATTGGGTTTAGTTCTGCTTTAAACTGCCCATAGATGCAGCTGTGACCTGTATCAGTTTTCTCCTTTGACACCAGTTATGGCCCATTTTCACAGCTATCACTGTAAAGCACCCATAGTATCTAAGTCTGTGGCAGTGGAACATGGTGTCAGATAAAAGAAGATGTTGTAGAGTTCAGTGTTGTGAAAGCTTCATTTCTTGGGGCTGTTCACAAACAAAGACTAATTATTGTTAAAGTGGACCTGTCTGGCACACACTTGGACTGTATTCTTTTTCTAGTAAGGGCCAGTAATTCAGTGACTACTGCCTGCCAATTCACAAGGAACTACAGACATCACTGTACCTCACGCCACAATAAAGTCCCTGGTTTCTTGTGACTGGTAGTCCACATAACAGGTACACTTTACAACCGTACCATTGTAATAGGAAGAAGCAGGCACAGAGCAATATTTTCTGTCCAAGCTCTGTATTGCGAGCTTGGTAAAATGTATATGATCTTATGTCGATTGTACAAGTCTGGCACTGTAAATGTTATTTTCATCACTAATTTAAACAAACTTTCTTTTTTATTTTGTGACCCTCAGTTGATGAGATGATCTGCACATGTTGTTTTGCATTTGAATTATGTCTAATGGTTGAAAACGTAAGAGTAAAACTATTGACAGTCAGTAGTTGTCTGTTCAGTTATTTTGTAAATGGGACAGAAGGCTTCGTTAGTCAATATGCACTGTCTTTACTGATCTACAGCGGCCAATCAGATTTCTACTCCAGCTTTAAGCACATGTTTAAATCTTATTTGATACTATGAGGCAACAGACAGATTTATTTCAGACACTTTAATAAAGGTCCATTGTGTATGATTTTTGATGAGGGTATTACTACTTTTCTTATCTACTTGAAAAATATTGGCTGCAGACTTTGTTGATGCCAAGTTAAAGTATTGTTAAGCCCAAAAATGTAATAATATATTGCAGTTTACCAGTCATTAGATGTGATGGCTGCATTCATTTTTTTTTTTCTCTCCTACTTTTGTCTGGTGATCTGGCCAGTAAAATGCCTCCTGTATTAGTGTGCCTCCACTCTGGATGAAGGAGCACCTTTTTGGACAGCAGCATTGTCAGTCTAGGGGGAGGAGAGTGTTTTGTTAGATGTACTAGCAGAATAAGATAAACTAACACCAGCTCACAATGCAGTTACACAGGCAGCTACAGTGGTTTTTTTTTTTTTTTTTTTTTTTCCCCTTTTGGGATAAAATGTTTTTACATGAATAAATAAAAGCTGAGCGTTGTCAGTCCCCATCAGTGGTAAATGGTTTGTCTCAACACTCTTAACTGCTACATTTGCAGGACAGCTTGTTCTGTTGAAAAACAGACTTACTAGTTGGATCTCCACATAAAAATAAAGGAAAGAGACTAAAGAAAATGAATGCAACCATCACATCTAAGAATTGATAAGCTGCAACATAATACATGTTTGAGTTTAATACTGCTTTAAGTTGGCTCTAGAAAGAAATATGGTATCTCTTGTTAACCAGTGCCACCATGCAAAGAACTCTTTAGTCGCATACAGTTTTTATAATCCGACATCTGTTTTCTGTTGTGTTGAAAGGTGCATTCATTTTAGTTAGCATGGTGGCTAGTTCATCCCAATTAGGTTTCCATTACTATCTGCTTAACTATTTTGGCTGGGTTTCCTCCAGTGTTCTTCTACAGCCTAAAATATACTAAGAAAGCTCTGATCATCTGCTTGCACATCCTTATCTTCTGACAATTCAGGTAATGGCTACTTTAAGGCCCCATTCATACTTTGGCTTCCTGGTAAGTTACATATTTGCACACTTGCTGACCCATGTTGCATTAAGGTAGCTTGTTCAAATGATAATGCACCAAAACATCTTAAAAAAACAAAAAAAAAAAATGCACATTTTTTGCAATACAGCACACCACAACACACTGTAGAGTGTTTCTGAGCATTGTGATGTGCTGCAACAAATGTGCATTAGAACTGTTACCTCGAATGCCATTATGGGCACAATGTCTGAGGGAAACACAAATTCACATTCATTTCCAGTACAAGCATTCTGTGGGATATGTATCTTGTATCTTATCTACTACTCGGACGGTTGGCCTAAGCAAGGTCATATTTATTTACAAAGGAAGTAAAACACTAACAGAAATCTAAACAAATATTACAGAGCATACAGAAGTAAAAGAGCAAAGATGATACATTTAGTAAGTTTGTCCTCAAATTTGAGTATCCTTTAGCTGGGCAGAAAGAGAGCAACCCCCCCCCAGAAACCCCCCCCCCCCCCACACACACACCCACACTCGCACTCCATATCATGATAGGGCCAACATATATATGTTCCTATCAGTACATGACCCATCAAAATGAGCACCACACTCCCAACCTCCTATAACCCTACACTGTATACACTGCTCGGGATTAGGCAGGTCTGCTCCGTATGGCCTTCTGTATTGCAATTTCTGCATGCATCCTGTAGTTCAGAACTCCTAATTGGCAGCAAAGCTTCTACTTTGTATGAAGATACTTTATTGTGAATTCTACCCTCAACTTGCATAGACATGCGAAACCTTCTTATATAAATGTCGGGTCAAAAAACACCTATAAACCTGAACCAATGACAAGACCACAGCACAAATGAACAATACCACAATGGGATGTATCAAACTATAGTAGCATTAGCTCTCTATCACTGCAGTCTCCTCATAAGGTTTTCCTCCCTATCCCAATCTGGCAACCATTCCCGTATCTTCCTACCCATACCAAGATTCAGGGCTTCCAGATTAAGAGGGTGGTTATAGTTGATGTTTGCAGACAAATTGGCAATATAGTGTTCCACATAATTCCATCCCTGCACCTGGACTTCTGAGACATTGCCTGGGGGACACCATGCACCTCTAGTTATCGTTAGGTTCAAGGAACACCCTAATTCCATAACTAGCATTACATTGGTATCCTTTAGGACAAAGAAGCAAACTCT